TTATCGCTAGATCTCTACTGCTGTCATGCCGAGATTCCAAGAGGCAAAGTATACCGCTGTCGGGGCTTTTATCTTTCTTCGGTTCTTCTGCCCTGCTATTGTCGCACCGGAATCAGAAAAGCTTGTAGACGAGCCCCCTTCTAAAGAAATGCGACGAGGTTTGCTTTTAATCGCCAAGGTCATCCAGAACTTGGCAAACAACGTCCTCTTCGGGGCCAAGGAGCCATACATGTACCCGCTAAACGACTTCTTGACCCAGAATATTTACAATGTGACGACATTTTTACGGGAAATATCTGTAAGAAGTACATCCTTACTGCTTTGTCTGTTGCTAAACTTTTATCAGGTCCTTCCAGAGAATCTTGATACCTCACGATCCGAACTCGAATCATTTGACTTCGGTTCCTGCGTTATCCTCCACCGTTTCCTGTACGAGCATCGAGATAATGTAAGGCAACGACTTATGTCTCAAGAACGAAGAGAGCAAATACGTACCCCTGGTGAGCTCACTCGCGGCCGTGCGCCAGCTCTCGAGCTACTTCCAGCTCTCACGACCACCTTGGGTCCACCGTCTTTAGCAATCACATGGAATCGGCCACAGATCGCTGCGAATTACTTGCCCACATACTCGAGATTTCAACACTTTATGCTCCGTAATGCATTTCGCGACAACGGTTCCTCTATGGGATCTCGCGCTATATATGATGGAGGGGAGACGAAGGTTCGTACTGGAACCCTGAGGTGACATTAAGCTGCTGACATCGACAACAGGATGGTCTTTCAATAATATTTATAATCCTTCGCCACATTGACCGAGAGTCTACCGATCATGAAACTTTGTTGTTTGCTTACCTAAAGGTTAGTCACTGTCAACTTCCTCCAAATCACCCTTTCTCGAACAGTTTATTAATACTATTATTTGTTTGAAGCTTGCGAGCCGTCTTTGGCACAAACCATTTGGCGTGTTCATTGATGCAACATGCGACAACGGATCCGCGGATTATTATGATGATCTCGCGAAGAAAATTGAGCTTCTCACTCCTTCTGAAGTATCGAACAATCTGTCTAGATGCTATATTTACAATATGAACAGCACCTATAGGTATGATCTCACTCGAATCATCAAGTCGTGTACTGATAAAAACAGGAAAACCTTTCGGCGGAATCTGCGTGTGGCTGGTAAACGTGATGCGAGTCTATTTGAAAAATTAAATATCGAGATACATCTTCTTGGGACCCTGCAAGAACTTCGAGCACACTTCCAGATTGATCATACCCGCTTTCCCAAGGAAATCGCCAGCGCCCCGAATGACACACGTTACACTTTCCAACCCGTTACTAGACTCTCAAAAACCAAGGGAAAGATTGAGGTCACTGTCAAGGTTGGTAGTCAGTATGTCCAAGTCGCAACAGTGAGGAAGCAGGAAGTTCACCCTACCTATCGCCTCAATGCCATTATCAATGACATCTTCCGCCTTGGCGACGTTGACGAAGCACCAACTTCTATTCCAACTGAAGATGATTCTGCTTTTGGACTCCGGGCTGATAACGGCAAAATCGTTATGTACTTCCAAAGTCCCATGAAAAACGAGATTCTTCAAACTATCCGGGGTGCTAAGGCAAAGTACGGAAAAGATACTAGGACTGTCAAGTCATTCGAGAGACTCATTCGTCCGCAAGACATTCCCGGCACGCTCTTGAATCTAGCTCTGTTGAACCTCGCGGCGCCTGATCAGGCTCTAAGGATCGCGTCATATAACCTTCTAGGAGCCCTTTGTCAAGCATTTAAATTCAAAGCAGCATCAAAATTCATGTGCATCAATGGTGAGCAATAACTACGACTCGTATTAGCTTATTAGTCTAAAGTAACTAACGCACGATCCAGATGTGCACATACCCATGGACCCTAACCAGTTCATCGTTAATATGAGCAAGACTCTAGCCCAGGAAGAACCGCAGCTGACGGCTGATTTCCTGAATGAATTTTTCGTCGGCTGGGAAAACTTTCCTGAAGAACAAAAGCCATTGAGCCTTGCATACATGGCACCCTGGTTATCGAGCCTGCGGACGTCACTTCTTGGCGACGACAATGATAGCGAGAGAGGTAAAGAGAAGATAGCTGCTATCTTTCAGAAACTCATAGATACTACGGTGATGGATTCCTCTCTTTTCATGACGCTTGAGCATACGGTGTGGCCCGCTATTTATAAAGACGAAGTCCTCTTGGATATCTTTCTAGAGGAGATTATCAAGTCTGCTCTTGCGGTTGGCCCGGATGATGACCACACACAGGCTTTAACCTCGACTGTAATAGCGATCGGCACGATAACACTTCGTGGTAAGGTAATCTCTCGCCTACGCAAAGCTCTGAATCGCTCAGTGCTCCGGCCCACGCGATACCTCCCGGAGAACGCGGTCTGGGACGAAATCTGCATTCTGCTGCAATTTTGTCTTGCATTGTCGTTTGACTGTGGGGTGCAGTCCCAACTCTATATGCCGGAAATATTCCACGTCGTCACGATGCTTGCAAATACCGGCCCGGCCGACATCCGCTCATCGGTTCAGCGGTTGTTGATCAACTCTCTCCACGCCGCATGCACCTCTTTCAAACTAACTGATCATAGACTGTCCAAGCTTCGCGGTGTACTTGACGTAATTTCAGATCCTAAAAACCAATACTTTCCCCAGGACGTAATTCCTGATGCCACAATTCAAGATGGCTGTCAATCACTTGCAACCACAGAACAACTTGCTATATTACTCTTCGATGCATGCACTATCGCTGCGCCTTCTGTTGACTTGGCAAATACGTGGCGATCCAGATGGATGAGCCTGGTCGCTAGCACCGCGTTTCAGAACAACCCTTCGATCCAGCCACGAGCTTTCACTGTGATGGGCTGTTTAGCACGGGAGGAGATCGATGATGATCTGCTCTACCAGGTTCTCGTGGCTCTTCGTCACAGCATCACTCGCTTTGGAGAAGATGGTTCTACGGAGATGCTTATTGCTGTCGCAACTTCTCTATCTAAAATGATTGTTAAGCTTACCTCAGCATCTCGCTATGGGCTACAGCTGTTCTGGCTTGCAATGTCGCTCATCCGTCTCATGCCAACTGCACGTCTCTTTAGTTGTGCGACGCAGTTGTTGGAGGCAGTTTTGACAAACATTGGCGTCTCGGGTGAGCTAAGGAGCGAGAAAACAGCGTCATTTCTCCTCCAGGGCCGTGGTACGTTGGAGGAGGCCACTCTTCCGCTAGACGACGTTTACGGTGTCCATTTCACGCCGGACAATTTCCATTTCGCTGTTTGTGCCTGTTTAGTGCGCGGCCTCACAGACCGCTTCACAAAGCCTTCTACGCTTCGAGTAGTATCGACGTTTCTAGAATTGACGACGAGCTCCCTCTCTGCTAAATCGTCCAAGATCTCTTCCGGAGTCTTCTACCAGTCTCCGTATATGACATTGATACAGTCACGAGTGGTGGACTCAGAAAAGGTCAAAGAGTGCCTTTGGTCTGCCGGTATCAACTCAGCCAGCGTCGCCAATCTCACGCTGGATCGCAATATACGTCACGCAGAGCACATTAGAGATAAAGATCTTCTCCTTCATACCGCCATCCAACTCGTAGACTTCCAAAATTTGGAAGACGATATCCAAACACATATCTTGATGTGGCTGTGCGATTTAGCGATAGAGCGACCGACGGTTATCCTTCCCTTGTCAGTATTGACCGTGCTTACGAGCATCGCATTGAGGAACATTCCTTAGCTGACAATTCATTCCCAGGTGTTCGACAATTATATCTCTTCTTGACGAAGTCCTCCTTCACGCCCAGAGACCAGAGGCAATGAAAGCAGCGCATGAATTACTTCGGATGGTGACTTCCAATCCCAAGTTTGCAGCCGCCAAAGAGGACCATGATACCCTCACTGAAATCCTAGAGGACATGGGATTCGAAGGGCTGTGGCGTTCGAATTCATTGCTACAGTCTCGAGACTTCGACAAGCAACTCATAGGGCTTACGGAGAAACTGATCGAAGTGAGTTCCAGTCATTTCTGCGCAGTGGTCTGCTTCGCTCCTTGAAAAAAAGAAAATGCTAATATTTACGTAGCTCATTGTTATGTGAAACCGAATAACGAGATCTGAGGTGATGAAGCGAGGAGCAAGCTCTCGGGGCCTTATTGACCTTTCATTTTATACAGCGAGCGAGCTTTGGACTATTTGCACTAGATATCAAATCAATAAACACACACACCCTTGTATATAGATGATGGTGACAAAAAGGCGAGGCGGGGGGGCAAGAAACGGGGTGAACGACCAGGACCGAGGAGTAAAGGCTCACATTCAGCATTCACCTGTCCAACAAGCAGATCGGCGCCGCGTGCATGTTGGGAACGGATCTGGTCATAGCATGCGCGGATTAAAAAAGAGAGCGAGAGAGAAAAAGATGGCGGATTGCATAGTGTGCGATGATAATTATTATTACTTCTATGCCACAAGTCAGCATACCCTGCAGTGTTCACAAACCCCGTATTTGTAGTATGTTGTTCATTGTCAATTAGAGTTAATGGGTTCTGATCAACTATTCAGACTATCTCCCACCCCAAGCACACTTAAAGCAATAAGCAGATGAATTTGCTTACTCGTGTGCCCTTAAAATAACTAGAGACGCAGACAGGGCGCTACTTTCGCAGTTTACGCAGCAGCATGTCCGTTTTCTAATTGCTCCAAATCCATGTGCTGTCGCACCGTGTCTATTCCCTGTTAGTTTTACCCTTTTACCTCCCTGGATACCACTGGCAGGAGAGAAGGGAATTTACTCCTTTGTCAGTTTGTTCCAGTCCAGTGATTAGCGTGCGTGCAGTGACTCAAAATTCAATATTCGTTAGCTAGAATATCTCATTGGAACATTGTATAAAGCCGATCGATAATAACCGATTTCCAGGTCACAGCTAGCAAAACCTTGATTCTTGTACGTTGACGTTGTCATGTTTCCTTCCAATCCGAATTGGTGTAGTGGCCAACATTTGACGCTCTCAACTGTATCGCAAGATGTAGAACAGTACCGTCAAGCCCGGGGTTCGATTCCCCGATTCGGAGTTCTTTTTTTCATTTTTGCTCCCTTTTTCTCGATAGAGCTATCTTAAAGCCTTAACTAGCGGTTGTAGTTGGATGGATTCTGGAGTTCATAGCGCCATTGACGGTTTCCTAGTTAGGTTTAAATATGTAGAACAAGCCTGAACTACATGTATATACTAATCCCAATTTACATTGATGAGGACTGAGAGATGGTCGATATACTGTTATGCAAGTATCTGGCTTTCAAGACAAAACAGACCGTTGGTCCCTAAACTTGGTCTTTGTTGCTTATGTCTTGACAATCAAGTTGTCTAAAGACAGAGGTAGTTGTCGGGTCACAATGTCTTTGTATTGTGATCATCGTTCACCGTGAATCTACATATATAAAGCAATCGAGAGAATTGTAGATTCCAGTAAGTTGCAGAACTTAAGACAGCTCAATCCCCCAAACTTTAGTCAACTCTTCATCTCGACTCTTACTCTCACAAACAGCCATTATTTATCATCCGAAATGTGTCACTATCAACAGGGCCAGACGTACGATGCAGATACCCAGACTTGGGAAGACTTTGGGCGAATGAGGCAAGTACTTTGCCCAGTAGCCAAGAGCAAGGGCTCCTTTGCATCATGTGGCAGAATAAAGCAACTAGAGATCGTTCGGCTTGACGCAACTCTCAAGCCAATTCCCAAAGAAAAAGAGCAAGGAAAGCCCGCGCAAGAGTCTACTCGCTCCTAGATGTCAGAAAGATAAGTTCCCAGGGTGAATAAAAAGACCCGCTTACAGCCAGGAGGATAATTAGGGCTCAATAGAGTGATCACTTGATCCCTGAACCACCCAAATCCAAAGAGGTTCAGTCACTTACACCATAGGGTAGCTGTGAACTAGTTCACTGACGTTCTAGTCCCAAAAATATAACCCTTGATCATAAATAAATTATAAACCAGTTCCAGATATTGCCGCATGAAATCCGTGAGTAGACTAGAATTTTCTATCTGATCCAACCATGTTCCATCATACTTCTAAATTTATAAATCAAACTAACCACACACGACCAGTTTCTGTCTATTTCCATTAGTCCATATCCACAATCCCGTGTTTGGGCATATAGGTTTCCCAAGCTTTCTGAGAAATTACCAGACTGTAAATTGTAATAGATCCTATGTCGACACTACCAGGCATAGTGCTGTGCGATCTGCCATAATTGCCCCTGGTACAGCAGTATCGCTGTAACCGATGCAGAGATCAGGAAATCTATCGGATCTTCTACGTCGCTGTCTCTAGCAGAAACTCTTGTATAATAATACAATTGCCAAAAAAAATAAAAAAAATAAAAATAAAAAAAATAAGAAACTGAAGTATAGGGCCGTAGTGGCTCTTGTTGCTACACAAGGGTATCCAATCCCATTCAAAAGCCTTTGTGTCGCGTGATCACAGATGACAGAAAACCTCAGGAGATATGGCTATTCTTCCATGCCTTTGATATCAAGTCATTATTCCATAGATATCATCAGAGAGTGAATTGAGCCAAGTGATTATGGTGCTTAGTAGTGAGTGACAGCGAGTTATTCCAACGAGTATCCTACAGGTTTTCTACATAGCAGTGCCTAATTCTTGTAAATATAAACGTATGTACCAGCGTGCTGGTTGGATATCGCTACACAAATCTTTTTCTCCCCTTCCTCTTCTGGCCTTCGTTATTTCCAGTTGTTGAAATCGAGTAGAATAATCGGCGTGAATGGGCATTCATTCCAAGAACCAGCCAGGAGAGATCAAAGCCTGAAAGCTTAGATTATGAGGATGCCTCGAGGTAGGCATAAAACAAAGAGACCTCCTACATATAGCCAGATGGCGTCCACGAAAGCGTCTAGAGTCCTTCGCGCAAAAGCAAGTGTCTATGAGCTATCCCATCCTGGAGACGCGATAGATTCGTCGTCTCCACTGTCTGAATCAGAGACCAAGGATGGTACTGGAGACAGTTCGTCACGGGTTCTTTGTGAAGGTCGGAGTGGACAATCAAAGTATTCGAACGCCTCCCTTAGAGCACGATCGAGGTATGTCTGCTGAATGCCAATGAATCGTGGACAATACTTCATATAGAACCCATAATAAGGCCAATATCTCTGGGGTTGAAACCCTTCGCCAAAAGTCTGCAAACATTCGACGAATCCAGTATTATCCGTCACGGGTGTTTTAAAAAGATAATGATAACTCCCGTGATATATTTTCATCAGGATGGTATAACGACAAGCGTGCGCGATCCGGACGAGAATATTCGTAAATGCGGTCAAGCAGGTCGTCCTATAATGGCCATCCATAGAAGTGAATATATTAGGGACGTCTAGAGATGCTATTTTAGTTCTTATACGATTAAATGCAGTGGGCGCTGGTATATTATGGGGTTTAACGGAAAAGACTCACTAAGAATAGGTCGTGAATCGTTATTGTTATCTTCCATGATTTGGAAAAGTAGCTTCAGGTATTTAGAATCGGGGGAAAGCTGAGCATATTGGCGAGTCCAAGGATCCCCGTGATCTGTCTGGGCCAGGTTGAGTGTCACTACAACCATTGAGGTTAATGATAAGCATTTAAACATGATCCTTGCCTTTAAAGGGAGCCGTATCGTTCTTGAGAAGATAAGAACAGCATAGACTATCATATAAGATCACTTACTCATGCCCTTGATCACCCCTCTATGCTCAACCTTCAGTATAGCCCCAGTCATCTCATTTGGGATGCAGGATTCCATGATTGCCTGAAATGAGCATCGGTATCTTTGTCTCCTACACAGCCAATACCCCGAAGGGTCTTGCAGAGGCCCAAAACTGCCGGCTTGTTTTATCGCAATGTGGGAATCGGCTGCAAAGTCAGCAAGAGCGTCGAGGTCGGTACGGTCCGCCACAGTCAAGAGAATCGGGTGGTTTTCAAGGTCCCCTAAGTTAAGAGGCTCTTGATAAAATGGCCATGCTGCATTAGCCAGCGTCTCCGTGGTATTATTCATTCTTTGATTATGCTTGTCTCTTGGTTCCGGTGACTTGATTTTCCACAACAGCAAGGTAAAGGGCCGACTGGTCATGTCGAAGTTGGATCTGGATTTTATATAAATTATCAACAGTTGCTACCATGGTATCACAAGGCACAGGCACAGGGCAAAGGGATTGCTGTATATAGCTAGGTAGCGTCTATGAAGATATTTAGAGTCCTTAATGCAACAACAAATGTCTATTGCCTACCCGAAATAAACGAAGAAGAAACGGGGGCCTGGCCGTGAAACAAGGGAAGCTACGCCAATTATGCATATGCTGATATCTCCTGAATAGTAATACCCTTAGGATATTAGAGGTCCGCATATAGATAAAATTGCCTTGACAAAGATATGTTAGCAATCATACCTAGTTACTAAATATAATAGTTGTGTTGCCAATCTCTTCAATGTCGTCAATAGCCCTTGAGTACAGAAGTAATAACTCGCATATGCTTAGTATCTATTCGTCAGTTAGTGTTTTCAAAACACAACTCTCAGGGAGGAAGGGGGAAACGTGTATTGAGTTGTGCGAGGGTTGTCTGATACTTATGACATACAACTGTGTTTGTTACTAACTCGGCAAACAACCGACAATAGGGGTTTGCCTAGTTGTCATTCCAACCTCAGAACCCTAGCCTCATCCCAAAGCAAACAACTAGTCGACCACGTCTAATCTTGACATCACATCTTCTCAAGAGTTCAAAAAGCTTCTTCGAACCGATAAGAAAAATGATAATATATGTGATAACGGATTCATTTCGAGCCCTATCTATATGACACTGACTAAATCACCACGAACGCTCTGCATCTTATCAGTCCAATTCGGTGACATCCAACTAGCCTAAGCAGGTCCTTCCCCATCGAAGAACACCTCATCCAACAAGCTCCAGAGCACCTTCTGTCCAGCCCACTGCTCCTCGACCGTAGGCCGAATAAGCTCAGGCGGCAAGACGAACCCGTACTTTCCGATATCCCTCAGCTCGATGGTGTAGGAGAACTCGGCACGACCGATGCTATAGACGTGATCGGGGGCGGCGCCGGTCGTGGGGTACAGCGTGGCGCCGCTGGGTCCGAAGGTGAAGGTGGTGAGGTCGCTCGAGCTGTCGCGGATGGCGTCGCTGGCCATCTGGGCCGCCTTGGTCCACTTGCCGAGCTCCGGCGCGTACAGCGTCTCCTTGTACCCGAACGGCGAGAGGATGTACTGCCCGTAGCTGTGCCAGTCGATGTACAGCTTGATTCCGGGCCCGTCGCGGAGCCGTCGCACCAGCTCGTCGAGCCCCTTGTTCTCGGGGCTGTCCGACGGCCGCTCGCCCTTGTACGTCTGCGAGCACGGGTTCGTCGACGCACCTTGCGGGTTGGCGTCCCACGCGAACTCCCAGTTGCGGTTGATGTCTCGTCCGTAACATGTCGAGCCATTGGGGCCGGGCTGGCGGTTCTTGCGCCATAAACGCTGAGTGGTCTGTGTGTAGACAAAGCCTGGGAGGGAGGTCAGTGTCGGCCTTATTATGAACGTATAATTGCCACACGTCGCTTACCGTCCGGGTTTACTACTGGGATGATGTAGAAATCGTACTTGTCGAGGACGGATCGAGTATCATTGTCGCCAGCGTTGTACCCGGTAACGAGTTTGTAAGTTAGGTATTCGGTAACCTGTCAAGGATGAGTATAACCCAGTAGATCTCACACTTTATTTCACACACCGCGGTACTAATCCATTCTCTGGCATGAACCGTCCCGTGATATAGCACCGCCGGTTTACCAGGCCCGCCAGCGCCCCACAAGTGAATCCCATTTAGGCTTCTGTTCTCGTACGAGTAGCCGGAGGAGAGGATCTCCGAGTTACCCGGAAAAAGATCGTGTAGGCTTTGAAGGTACTTGACGTGGTCTTGGTAGTCGTGGTATGAGTCGAACCACGTCGGGTCACCAGCTTGTCTCTTCCAAAGCGAACTATGAGCCGACTCGGCAGCAATCGAAGCCCCCAGGTCCTGATGCATAATA